CAACTAGCTCTATTAGCTTTCCAAAATCTTATTACAAATCCCAATTATTTTTTGGCTAATAATTGGACCAAAAATACTTCTCTTTGCTCTTGGTTTGGTGTCACTTGCACTCCAAAAACGCAAAGGGTTGTGGCCTTGATCCCTCCTGCTGTTGGAAATGCCACAAAAATGATGAACTTCAGTTTGTCTGGGAATAGAGTCAGTGGGAACATTCCAAAGGAGGTCGGTAATCTGGGCCATCTTGCACTTTTGTCCTTGTTCGATAATCAGTTAACAAGTTTCATTCCCCGAACATTGTTTAATATCTCATTGCTACTTGCCGTATCTCTGTCATTCAATAGCCTTTCTGGTCCTCTCTTGCTAGATGAAGGGAATATTGTGTCAAATCTGAAGTCTCTAAGTATATCTAACAACCAAATTTCTGGTTGCATTCCTTCCAACATATGCCAACTCACAGAGCTCAAAATTTTGTCCATAGCTTTCAACAACATAACTGAAGACATACCCATAAATATTGATTGTTTATCCGAGCTCCAAGAGTTTTATATTGGCAATAATCCAATAAAAGGGACTATTCCCACTTCATTGGGAAATATTTCCACTCTGCAATATTTTCATTGTCAAAACAATCGCATAGTGGGGCAAATTCCTCCAGAATTAGGAAAGCTATCAAATTTGAGGCAATTAAGCTTAGAGCTGAATTATAATCTTACTGGTCAAATTCCAAAGGCTATTTTCAATATATCTTCTTTCGAAATCATTGATTTCAGCTTCAATAACCTCTCGGGTAGGATTCCAACCACTATAGGTCTTCATCTTCCATACCTTAAAGAACTTTACTTGGGAGCCAATCAGCTGGAAGGGGAAATTCCATTGTTCATAACAAATGCTTCCAAGCTTGTGATTCTGGATCTAGCACAGAACTTTCTCACAGGAACTATTCCTACTAATTTGGGGAATCTTCGTGAGCTCCAAGGTCTTCTCCTACATGATAATCAACTTACCAATGAACCAAGAGAGCATGAGTTGCGATTCTTTAATTCTTTGGCGGACTGTAGGATGTTGAAATATCTACAAGTGGGTAACAATCTGTTGAATGGCACTTTTCCCAATTCAATTGGGAATCTTTCATCTACTATTGAAAACTTTCATATAGCAGATGCACACATCAATGGCCTCATCCCCACAAGTATAGGCAACATGAGCGGTCTAATGCCTAGACCTTAGAGAAAACAACTTGGTGGGAAGTATTCCTCCTGAGATTGGTAAGCTTAAACAACTCCAAGGGATGTATCTAAATAAAAATAAATTACAGGGACATATTTCAGAGGTGGTATGCCATTTGTTCAATTTGGTTGAATTAGTTCTGCATGATAGTGAGTTCTCTGGATTAATTCCAGAATGCTTAGGAAAATTTAGCATGCTTCAAAAGCTTTATTTGGGTTCTAATAAATTTTCATCAAAATTTCCGTTGAGTCTTTGGAAGATAAGTGGTCTTCTCTATCTAAGTGTGTCACAAAATTCTATAGAGGGAGAAGTTCCATCAGATATTGGAGAACTGAAAGCCATTGTAGGACTATATCTTCACAGTAACCACTTTACAGGCGTGATACCAAGCAGATTCGGGGAACTCCAAAACCTGCAGTATCTTGACGTATTGAACAATTCATTTTTTGGCCAAATTCCATTATCCTTTGCCAACTTGATAAACTTGGAATTCTTGAATTTGTCTTCAAATGCATTGTCAGGTACTATTCCTAAGTCTTTGGAAACGCTCTCATACCTTAAAAGCATTAGTGTTTCATTTAATGATTTAGAAGGTGAAATACCGAGTGGTGGCGTGTTTGCAAATTCCACTCTGCAATCATTTCTCGGGAACAAAGGTCTATGTGGAATGCACATATTGGAGATTCCTGCTTGCGCTATCAATAATCCTGGAAAACAATCAAAGCTTAAGGAGGTTCTGCTAAAAATTGTTACTCCAGTGGTTATATCATCCATTCTGATATTCTTGTTTGTGTCAGCTTGGATAATGAAACGAAAGAAGAAAGGAAAGTCCAAAGATGTTGAAAAGGTTCCGGAGATCAAGACGTATCAATTGATTTCTTATTATGAGATTCAACGAGCAACAAATAATTTTGATGGATCCAATTTAATTGGTGAGGGAAGCTCTGGCTCTGTGTACAAAGGCACATTCTCAAGTGGAACTACGGTGGCCATAAAGGTTCTGGATTTGGAAAATGAGCAAGTATGCAAGAGGTTTGATACAGAATGCGAAGTGATGAGAAATGTCAGACATAGAAATCTTGTTGCAGTGATTACTACTTGTTCTAGTGACTATATAAGAGCCTTTGTTCTGAAATATATGTCAAACGGTAGTCTTGAGAATTGGTTGTACAGAGAACCTTGCCACTTGAACCTTCTTCAAAGAGTCACTGTAATGCTTGATGCGTCTATGGCAATTGAATATCTACATCATGGTAATGATACTGCGATAGTTCATTGCGACATAAAGCAAGTCAATGTTCTTTTGGATGAAGATATGGTGGTGCATGTTGGTGATTTTGGAATCTCTAAGATTTTAGCTGTAAGCAAGTGCATGACACAAACCGAGACATTGGGCACTCTTGGATACATCGCACCAGGTATACTAAAATTATAACCTATCAATTTGATTTTTCTCTTATCAAAATCAAGCCCTTGAAAATTCTAGGATAAATAAAAAGCAAGTCTTTTTTATTAGTACAAGCATTATTGCTATATCCAAATGAGTTATTCTTTTTCATTTTCATTCTTTTAAGAATATGGCTCAGAAGGAATAGTGTCGGCTAGTGGTGATGTTTACAGTTACAGCATCATGTTGATGGAGGTTTTGACGAAAAGAAGGCCAACAAATGAAGAGATATGCAATGAAAATCTTGACTTGAGGAGATGGATAACACAATCATTTTCAGGGAGTATGATGGACATTGTGGATGCCAACCTTTTTTGTGAGGAAGAACAAATCACTAGGAAAAGTGAAATCTGCATAGCCTCCATGATAGAATTGGCTTTAGATTGCACAAAGGAAATGCCCGAATCAAGAATAACCATGAAGGATGTAGTCAAGAGGCTTAGCAAAATCAAGAACACATTTTTGGAAATGTAGAAGTTAGCATCTCTTTTGGTGGTGTTCTTTCTGAGATGCAAGTTTATACATTGCTTTTCGTTTATTTGGTTTCTTTAATAAAGTCATACGTACTACTTGGATTCATGTAGTGTTTGTACTTCAGAGTGTTGCGTTTCCCTCATTTTGTGATTTCATATTTGCATGGTTTTGAACTTGTTTTACCTTTTTAAGTAATTAAATCAAGAAATATTATGAAGTTGTTTGGCTGCACTATTTTGCTTTCTGTTTGCAAGCTTGGAAACATCTTTTCCACCTCTTTTTGCCTCTCTTTTTTATTAACAAACCTAAATTGATATTCAAGGTTGAAACTCTTAATTTGTGTGAAAAGCAAGTTAAGGGAGGAAGCGAAAAAGGGAACAGAATTATATAGGAATACATCAGAGAGATTAAAATAAGAGGCAGAGGAGTCAATTTTAGCTTTGAGTGGGAAAGAAATGAGCTTCATCGCGTATATAAAAGTAGTTCAAGAAGAACAAGATCTTTTTCTGCACAAGGCGTCTAGGCTCACCGTGTCTTTGGCAAAACTCTTATATCTTAAAAGCATTAATGTTTCATTTAATGATTTAGAAGGTGAAATACCCAATGGTGTTGTGTTTGTAAGTTTCACTTTGCAATCATTTCTTGGGAACAAAGGTCTATTTGGAGTGCACATATTGTAGCTTACCCAATGATGTAGGTTTGTGGTCATTTCTCGAGGGAATTTAATGGCCAATGTGAGAGATTGTGTGTTAGACTCTAGTGCTACTAAACACATTTGTGCTAACAAAATTGACAGTGTCCTAGAATTATTATTTATTATCGGTGATTCAAGAACTATTCAAATTCTTGAAAATGAAAAATCCTTCTTAAACTCACATCTGGAAAACATTGGCATTCACTGATCAGGTGATGCATGCTTGTTGGAAAATATTGGAAATCAATGAAATTCTCGTAACTTGAACCATGCCTATGGTACTATCCTTAATGATATTCAACAAGTTCTTTAATTCTAGGATAAAACGAGCAAAACTAGATATAAATGTTTTGAGCGTATGTTTATGTGTTATTCCGTTATAAATGTGTAAACACATCTGGTGTCATGTGAGTGACACACATTTTATTTTCTTTGAGAGATTTTTTTCCATGTTGTGCTAATTATTGAATGTGCATTGTGTTTAATTCTGTTGCGTGTAAGGCAGCCTTATAAGTTTGATTTGAAAGATTGACTACTATTGACTTAGCTCTTGAGCAATATATTGAAAATTGATAGCAATATTTCCTCTTTCTATTATGAATTAGCTGACTTTTATTCTGTTTTGTGAAACACAACGCAACTGTCCATTTCAAGAAAAATCCTTCATTTTTGTATGAAATATGGACATACTGCATACATAAGTTGAAAATATAATTAAGTAAATAAAATGTAAATGTGAAACACAACCCAAGTGGTGTCAACAAAAAATGGACAGATTTTTTTTTCCAACAATTTTTTGTTTTGGTGCTATATATATAGTGAACTAACTTTGGTTAACCCTGAGGGGTAGCTCAGCTGGTAAAGGCCTGGGACAAAGTCCTTCAGGTCGCCGGTTCGAGCCCCAGCAGGGCCACTGGAGGCATTACAAACCGGCCGCGTCTCCAGGGCCCCGTGGAACTAACCGTGGTGGACCCGCCTTGAAACAGCGGGACCCGGTGGGTACAGCTAGTCGGGTTCGCAAAGCGACGCCCGGAAACCACGGTAAAAAAAAAAAAAAAAAAAACTAACTTTGGTCTTTGGCAATACCACACACACAAATTAATCCAGTGTCCGAATTCCCTTAAAACATTCTATTTCTAGTCTGTGTCTAATAACAGCATGGAGAAGCACATTTTCTTATTGATACTTCTCTTTTTAGTTCAATTTCCTATATCAATCGCTTCCTCAAATGAGACTGACCAACAAGCCCTACTAGCTTTCCAAAATCTTATTACAAGTCCCAATCAATTTTTGGCTAATAATTGGACCAAGAATGCATCTTTTTGCTCTTGGTTCGGTGTCACGTGCAGTACAAGAAGGCTAAGGGTTGTGGCCTTGGCTCTTCCTAATTTGCAACTTCAAGGCACAATTTCCCTGTCTTTGGCCAATTTGTCCTTTCTCAGAGAGCTCAATCTCGAGAACAACTTATTCAATGGGGGCATCCCTTACGGACTTGGCCAGTTGCCTCACTTGCGAGTCATTGATTTTCAAAACAATCAGCTCCAAGGAAGTATTCCAATAAGTCTATTTCAACACCAGAGAGTTCGAATCATTTCATTGGCTTTCAATGAACTCAGTGGTGAAATGTGGAAAGGGCCATGGTATGTACCAGAACTCAAAGTCTTAGATCTCGCGAACAATAGCCTCACGGGTATAATCCCTCCTTATGTTGGTAATGCCACAAAATTGATGAACTTCGATTTGTCTGGGAGTAGAATCAATGGTACCATTCCAATGGAAATTGGTAATTTGAGCCAACTTGCATCTTTGTCCTTGGTTGATAATCAGTTAACAGGTTTTATTCCTGGATCACTGTTTAACATTTCATCACTACTTGGCGTAACTCTGGGATTAAATCACCTTTCTGGTCCTCTCTTGCTTGATGAAGGGAATATTGAGTCAAATCTGAAGATACTAAGTATATCTTTCAATCAAATTTCTGGTCGCATTCCTTCTAACATATGCCAACTCACACAGCTCAAAATTTTGTCCATATCTTTCAATAGCATAACTGGAGACATACCCAAAAATATTGGTTGTCTAGCCAAGCTCGAGATGTTCTTAATTAGTGAGAATGCAATAAGTGGGACTATTCCTGCTTCATTGGGCAATATTTCCACTCTGCAACATTTTGATTCGGGGGACAATCGGTTGGAGGGACAAGTTCCTCAAGAATTAGGGAAGCTATCAAATTTGAGGGTGTTAAACTTTCACAAGAATTTTAATCTTATTGGTCAAATTCCAAAGGCTATTTTCAATACGGAAAAGGGTCAAAATTACCCTCAGACTATTCGAAATAGAGCAAATATACCCTCCGCTTCATTTTTGGCTCAAAAATACCCTTGCCGTTAACATAAGAGACCACAAATACCCTCCAACTTAACAGCCCCGTTAACCTCATGACATAGCATCTGATGTGGAAAAAATAAGCCAAATGGTTCAACACGTAAGCGTCCTACGTGGAATAAAGATCCACATGACTGCCACCTAAGCTACCCATGTCCATTAACCCTTTACCCACCCCACTAAATGGACCGACCCGTTCACATTCATAGTCTTCATCATCTCCAAAACTAAACGCTGATGCATCTGCTGCAACAGCTTTAATATCACTTGACCCGAGATTGGGAATAGCAGCTCTCTCAACTGTTTCACTCTTGATCTCGCTTGCGCCATTTTTGGGGTCGCTGTTTCTAAGAGAAAGTTGTACAGCATTATGAGTTAGATTGGCAATCTGCTCCTTTTGGCAGCCATAATCAACACCTGCAGCAGCCAGAATCTCTATTCTTTAACCTTTAATTGGGAACGGGTCGGTCTATTTAGTGGGATGGGTAAAGGGTTAATGGGCATGGGTAGCTTAGGTGGCAGTCGTGTGGATCTTTAGGTGTTGAGCCATATGGCTTATTTTTTCCACATCAGATGCCACGTCATGAAGTTAACGGGGCTGTTAAGTTGGAGGGTATTTGTGGTCTCTTATGTTAACAACAAGGGTATTTTTGAGCCAAAAATGAAATGAAGGATATATTTGCTCTATTTCGAATAGTTTGAGGATAGTTTTGACCCTTCTCCGTTTTCAATATATCTTCTTTGGAAGCGATTGATTTCAGTTTCAATAACCTCTCAGATAGAATTCCAGCCACTACCGATCTTCATCTTCCGAACCTTAAAGAGTTTATGTTGGCATTCAATCAGCTCGAAGGAGAAAATCCTCAATACATAGCAAATGCTTCCAAGCTTGAGATACTGACGCTAAATTATAACTTTCTGACAGTTGCTATTCCTACTAATTTAGGAAATCTTCGCGAGCTGCGATCACTGTTCCTAGATCATAATCAACTTACCAATGAACCAGGAGAGCCTGAGTTGTTATTCTTGAATTCTTTGGTGAACTGTAGGATGCTGAAATATATAGATGTGGGTTTTAATCCGTTGAATGGTGTTCTTCCCAATTCTATTGGGAATCTTTCATCAACTATTGAAGCATTTGATATACGAAATGCACACATCTATGGCCTTATTCCCACAAGTATAGGCAACATGAGCGGTCTCATATCCCTATTCTTTAATGAAAACAACTTGACACGATATATTCCTCCAGAGATTGGTAAGCTTAAACAACTCCAAGGTCTGTACCTATTTAACAATAAATTGCAGGGACATATTCCAGAGGCGGTATGCCATTTATCTAATTTGGTCGAATTAGAAATGGATGGTAATGAACTCTCTGGATCAATTCCAGAATGTTTAGGAAATCTTGGGATACTACTATATCTTTCGTTGGGATCAAATAAATTTTCACCAAAATTTCCCTCGAGTCTTTGGAAGATGAGTGGACTTCTCTACCTAAACATGTCACATAATTCTATAGAAGGAGAAGTTCCACCAACTATTGGAGAACTATATCTTTCCGGTAATCACTTTTCATGCCAGGTACCAAGCAGATTGGGCGAGCTCCAAAGATTGAAGTCTCTTGACCTATCAAACAATTCATTTTCAGGCTCAATTCCATTATCCATTACCAACTTGATGAGCTTAGAAGACTTGGATTTGTCTTTAAATGCATTGTCAGGTATTATTCCTAAGTCTTTGGAAAAACTCTCATACCTTACAAGCATCAATGTTTCATTTAATGATTTAGAAGGTGAAATACCCAGTGGTGGTGTGTTTGTAAATTCCACTCTGCTATCATTTCTCGGGAACAAAGGTCTATGTGGAATCCACATATTGGAGATTCCCGCTTGTCCTATCACTAATCCTGGACAACAATCAGTGTCTAAGAAACTTGTGCTAAAAATTGTTACTCCAATGGTTATTTCATTCTTTCTGATATTCTTGTTGGTTTCAATTTGGATAATGAAACGAAAGAAGAAAGGGAAGTCCAAAGATGTTGAAAAGGTTCTGGAGATCAAAACTTATCAATTGATTTCTTATCATGAGATTCAACGAGCAACAAATAATTTTGATGGATCCAATTTAATTGGTGAGGGAAGCTCTGGCACTGTGTACAAAGGCACATTCTCAAGTGGAACTACGGTGGCCATAAAGGTTCTGGATTTGGAAAATGAGCAAGTATGCAAGAGGTTTGATACAGAATGCGAAGTGATGAGAAATGTCAGACATAGAAATCTTGTTCCAGTGATTACTACTTGTTCTAGTGACTATATAAGAGCCTTTGTTCTGAAATATATATCAAATGGGAGTCTTGAGAATTGGTTGTACAGAGAAGCTCGCCACTTGAACCTTCTTCAAAGAGTCACTGTAATGCTTGATGTAGCTATGGCAATTGAATATCTACATCATGGCAATGACACTGCAATAGTTCATTGCGACATAAAGCCAGCCAACGTTCTTTTGGATGAAGATATGGTGGCGCATGTTGGTGATTTTGGAATCTCTAAGATTTTAGCCGAAAGCAAGTCCATGACACAAACCGAGACATTGGGCACTCTTGGATACATTGCACCAGGTCTACTAAAATTATAACCTTTCTATTTGATTTTTCTCTTATCAAAATCAAGCCCTTGAAAATTCTAGGATAAATAAAAAGCAAGTCTTTGTTAGTATGGGCATTATTGTTATATCCAAATGAGTTAGTTCTTTTTCATTTTCGTTCTTTTCAGAATATGGCTCAGAAGGAATAGTGTCCGCTAGTGGTGATGTTTACAGTTACGGCATAATGTTGATGGAGATTTTGACCAAAAGAAGGCCAACAGATGAAGATATATGCAATGAAAATCTTGACTTGAGGAAATGGATAATACAATCATTTTCCGGGACTATGATGGACGTTGTGGATGCCAACCTTTTTTGTGAGGAAGAACAAATCACTAGGAAAAGTGAAATCTGCATAGCCTCCATGATAGAATTGGCTTTAGATTGCACAAAGGAAATGCCCGAATCAAGAATAACCATGAAGGATGTAGTCAAGAAGCTTAGCAGAATCAAGAACACATTTTTGGAAAGGCATAATATATAAATATGCCCTTTAAGTTGGCCTCATTTCACATTTATGTCCTTCAACTTTGGGTGTGCACAAGCAGACACTCAAACTTGTATAAAATTGTACAAATAGACACACACATCCTGCGTGGCATCCTACATGGCAATTTGCATCCTACGTGGTGTCCTACGTGTTTTATGCCACATAGGACTCATGTGTCTACTTATTCAGCTTTATACAAGCTTGAGTGTCTACTTGTGTAGATCAAAAGTTGAAGGGCATAAATATAAAATGAGGTGAAGTTAAAGGGTGCATTTATGTATTATGCCTTTTGGAAATGTAGAAGTTAGCATCTCTTTTGGTAGTGTTCTTTTCTAAGTTACTATGATGTTTTTTGTTTACCTCATTTTGTGATATTCAGAACCTGTTTCACTTTCTTTATTCGTAACTATGTTTTGAATGCTTGAATAAACCAGTGGAGTATTAAATTAAGTAATATTATGAAAGAAGTTTAGCTAAACCAGACAAGACAAAACATAATTAAATTTAAATTTATAAAAAAAAAACACAAAAGCAAATTTTATATATTCTCTTTGTCCCATTTTATATGTTTTATTTTTCTTTTTAATCCGTCTAAAAAGAATGACACATTTTTATATTTAACTTTAAAATGTTCATTTTAATCTTAATGAATGATTTCTAGCCACACAAATATCTACCACTCATTTAAAACCACAAGTTTCAAATTTTTTTTCTTTCTTAAACTTCATGTTAAGTCAAACTGAGTCATATAAATTGAAACAAAGTACTATGAAACTTTTGAATAAGCAGTTAAATTTATATATAAAAATATGATTATATGAATTTAAACTAAAGATAAAATGCTAAATGCATCTATTTGTTACACTTCTACGATAAAAACAAATTAGGTATATGTCTCTTTCAGTCCCTCCTATAAGATTGAGATTTTGAAATTGAAAATTCATATAAAATTCCATTTGTAGAATAAAACAAAAAACTAACTAGAAAAGTTCATGAAAACAAATAGCCTTACTGGATTCGAATCCTAGTCTTACAAGTGGTTTCTCTTTCTTGTACCAACAACACAAGAAAACGCTTATGCTATTTATGAGTGCACTGCTAATAATATCATAATTTTTGCCAATTTCTCAAGATAGATATACATATATACACATTATTTTTTCCAAAGTTAACGGATATATATACACCCCACCGAACAAGGTGGGTCCGCCTCTGCTTATGTCAAGCAAAATCCACTAAAATCTCTCCACATGTGATGAGATATTGCCATCATATTGTTTGTTGGAGACCCAGCCCGCGACCTTGTCCTTTTGAGCTTTTAAACCTAACCTAAAACTCCAAAAATAGTGATGTCAGTTTTGCAAGAGTATCGTTCACTAGGTTGTTTCGAATGAATTCATAAAATTTGGGATTAAATAGAGTTGGCTTGACATTTTTTTTAAAAAAGGCATAATATATAAATATGTCATTTAATTAATATTTATTTATGCCCTTTCAATTTTGAGTATTGTGCACAACTAGACACTTAAATTTGTATAAAATTGAACAAATAGACACATTCGTCTTACTGTCACCCCTCAAGCCTACACCCTGGACGTGACTGGCACTTGAGAACCATTGTTGGTCCCCAAGTGAAACCTTGGCTGGCCGAATACTTAGCGAAATGCGTACTCAAACAAAATAGGAACTCCAAATGCAAAGGTTACCTCATAATGTCTCAATAAAAACTTAACTTAATAAAAGTCTGGGAATACTTAAATAAACATAAGTAATCAACTCAAAGTATCAAAACATCAACAAAGGAAATATGGAGAGACTCCTCAACTTCTAACTAACTATGAAGCCTCTAAATACTAAGATAGGTGTCGGGACAAGACCCTCGACAACTTAACAAGGAAGGAAATTTGAGTCTGAAACCCTCCGGTAAGCAAGGAGGCTCACCAAAGCTAGCTGGAGTGCAAATGGTATCAACAAAGCTCATATTGATGACCCTAAACACATGTTTCTGCATCATAAATAAGATGCAGGTCGAATGACGTCAGTACATTGAATGTACGAGCATGTAAGGGAAAAACTAAAAACATATATAGCTGAATTGATCAGACTAAAAGACATACTCACCTCAACTCAACTCCAATATGAAAGAAAAATATAAGAGATGCAATATTTAAAGCTTTTAAAACAGTAGATAGGGGTGTACAAAACCGAACCGAAAACCGAATCAAACCGCAAACTGAAAAAAAAAACCCGACTAGTGGTTTGGTATTGGAAAAAAAACCCCGACTATATTTGGGTTGGTTTGGTTTTAACGAAAAAAATCAACCCGAGACCAAACCAACCCGACATTATATATGCAATTTTAAAATTTTATTTTATACATAAAAATATTTACTTTGATATAATTTTAAAAAATTTCTTATACTATTTCATAGTTTTTATCTTTTAATATATTATTTCAAGTTTAAAACTTAGAATTCGAAATGGTCCAATAAAGATTATAGTTCATAGATGTTGATAATTATAATAAAACTTAAATCAAAATCAAATTAATACTAATGCAAAAAGAAAATCAATTCAATACTATGAATGACAATAATATTGAATATTTGTTCTTTAGTTTTACATTGGTTTAGACAATCAAAATACATAATCTAATTTTAATTTTCGTTAAATATTTAGTAATGTAACTAATACTTATTGTTGACACCCAATTTTGGACCTCCACAATATATATTAATCATCGAGCTTCTTAAATTTCAAACGATTTGAAATAATTGACTTTATAAAATTCAAAAAAAAATAAAATAAATTTTTTAATTATTTTAAATAGTTTTGTCATTTTTTATAATTTTAAAATAATGTATAGGTTTTACATAATTATGTATATAATTAGTATATTTTATGAATATTTGAAATTGTCTCAAAAGATTTTAGTTTTAGTTAAATATTTTGTTAATTGGTTTGGTTTAAGTAATGGTTTATATTTTTAAATTAATTAGTTTACAATTAAGTTAATTATTTTATTTTGTTAAGATTAAGAAACTCGATAATTAATTTCTTATTAATTCATCTTATTTAACTTTTAGCCAATTTCACCAATTAAATTCAAATTGGCTAGGTTTTAAACTTAAATTGATTAAGTTTGCAATCTAATTGGTCATTTGTCTAATTCAAATCCAACCATCTATTTCTCACCTCATTTCAACCCATTTAAAGGACCAACTTTGGGCCATTTTAATCCGGCCCAACAGCACAACCCCCTTTTAAAATTCTCAGCCCACTCTTAATTCCATTTTTCTTGTTTTCCAGCCCACTCTCTTTATTTCCAGCAGCCTACATTCCAGCAATACATACATACATACAACGATTCAACAGCAATACCAAGACACACGACCCCACCTCCCCAACTTCATCTTCTTTACTACAAACCCAGTACTGTTCCAGCAGTACATTTCCAGCACTTGCTAGCACGCAGAATTTGTCCCTGTGGCCGCGAGATCATGCCACGTCGATGCCCAAGGACAATGCTTTGATCTGGAGCGCCAATTCGCCCTTTCCTCTTCTGGAAAGGGTTGAAACTTCAGGGAAAAAGTGTGTGTCCGAAATGGTGAAAGGATTTGGATTTTGGATTTTGAATTTTCGAAATGGTCCCTTACTGATCTTCCACCCGAATTCCCCCCAAAAAATCGTGCCCTATTTTCCTCTTATTTAAACCACCTATTTATTCATTGTTGGGGTTAGCTGACAGAGAGTTGGGAATTAGAGGGGTTTTTTTTTTCTTTCTTTTACTGATAGGCAGAAAACAGAGAAGGGGTTGAGTTTTTGATTCTTCTTTAGACTTTACCTCTAAGAAAAAATAACATAAAGAACACACAGTAATAGACTTGAGAGGGGGAAGTTTCAAGTTCTGTTTTCTTTTTCTGAAACTCTAATTGAAGTCTCTTCATCGGAATCCTTTAGTGGTGGTGGAATCGCCTTCAACAGCTCGAGTTCAGTTCGCTGCCCCAAGAAAGGTAACTTCACTTCCTTTTGGATTTTGTCCCAATGTTGTGTGTTGTATGTTCCATGCTTGGTGTAGAATCTGATGTTAAATGTACTTGGTTCCTAGTATTAGTGTTTTCTTTATCGTTGCCTATTTTGTGAATTTCTGGGTTGCAACATGAATCTCATTGATTAAGTCTCTTCGGCATTATGTGGATAGATCAGCTGGTTCGATGCTATGTGTGTATAGCTAGCTGGATCTCTGCTTCATTTTGTTTGATATGAATTGGGATCATTTAATTTCGACTTCTAATGCATTAGCTATATAGTTCGGTTTCCTCATTGTTTACTCGTTTTCTTGGGTCTCTTTTTCTGTTGTTTGATCCATCATTATAAACTCTCACCAATGCTAGCGTAATCTCATAGTATTTATCTATATACTTGAACACTGCTCATTTAGCTCTAATTCCTCTTAACTTTAAGCATGTTTTCAACAGTTGTGAAGTAATATATAGTTCCTTTACTTACTTTAGTAATCACTGGCTCATTTCTTTCTTCCTTTCACATGCTTAATCCAATTTTATAAGCGGTTAACGCCTATTGGACCCTTAGGTGTTCTAAGATTGCTTTTCTTCGAATATGTGTTTCGTTCTCTTTAAGTTTGCGATACATGAGGCATTTGCTTGGCATGAACTTTGCATTTAAATTGGGTTAATGGGTTGTGTTATCTGGAAAAGATTTGCTTTCAAGTTAAAATCATATTAGTAGTTATTGCTTCCCTCAATGAGTTCCATGTCTTTCAAGTGTTGGAATTATTATTATTATTATTTTATTTTATTTTTTTGTTTTCCAATAACTCATTTATGCCTCCATGAGATTGTGTCAACCAGATGTTATCTTTTCCATTTCTTTTAAGTTAAAGCTTAGGTGATCTTGGTTTCAATTTTGTGTTTTTCCCCTTTACTGTTTCATTTTTGCTTCATGATTTAAACTGTCTGTTGTTCATATAAGTC